CTCATCAGCCCCCTGCCCTCCCCGACAGGAACCATCAGGTATGGGGGTTGGGGGGTCAGGCCATTCTCAGTCCCAGTAGCAGGCCCCAAAGTGACGCCTCTCCCTGCCCTGGAGCTGACTCGTGCACAGAGGGAGACTTGACGGAGCCTCCCACATGTTCTTGGTTTTTACTTGCGGATTCTTTTTGTTGCAATGTCAGTTGAAGGGGTAGATGATTTGTACTACTGGTCGAAAGTCTCAGATAGGTTTTAATTTGAAGTTTAAATTTTTTTAGTTTGCTACAATTTCATATAAATTCTGAAAACTTGTACTTTGGTTTGACCACATCGAAGTGACCAACTTGTGTTCATCATGATGTTCTGAGAGAGACTGGACGCCGCAGGAAGAGAGGTGGCAAAATCCCAGCACAGCCACACTGGCCTGCATGGGCTGATCCTGGAGCCCAGCACACTGCATTATTTTCCTGTTGAGCTCTCAGGGAGAGCAAGGTGGGACGTAGCCAGGGGACTGTATTGTGTGTTTTGGGTGCTGTTCTCAGAGTGGGTCAGGTTGCAGCGTGTGGTTGGTGGGAAGCTCTGCTGTGACTGTGGGGTAGGGCTGAGCTCAGACCACATCAGGCTGGTATGTCCTGTTGGTTCCAAAGTAGAGCGGGACACATGTTCGTGTATCTTCTTAGTTGTAGGTAATGGACTTAGGTGCGAAATGAACACATTTGCTTCTCATTAGAGTCAGGCTCCTACTGCCCAGGTCTGTCCACAGAGTACAGCCGGGAGGCAGGGAAGGGCTCCTCTTGGTCTGCCTGGAGCTGGCCCTTATGTAAGGCTGACCCAGGGAGGAAGGGCACAGAGGGAGCTCGAACAGCTCTGGGTTATACCCTTAAGTTGCATACTTAGGTTTGTTATATTAAAAAACAGCATTAAGTATAGGCCTTCTTGAAATTAAAGAGACGTTGGGCCGACCCCGTGGCTCACTCGGGAGAGTGCAGCGCTGGGAGCGCAGCGGCGCTTCCGCCGCGGGTTCGAATCCTATATAGGGATGGCTGGTGTGGTCACTGGCTGAGCGCAGTGCAGGAAACACCAAGCCAAGGGTTGCAATCCCCTTACCGGTCACAAAAAAAAAAAAGAAAGAAATTAAAGAGACGTAAATAAGTGGAAACACATCCGTGTTCATAGATTGGAAGACTAATATTGATAAGATGTTATCCAAAGCAATTTACAGATTCAGTGTAATCTCTATCAAAATCCCAATGATGTTTTTTGCAGAAATAGAAAAACCCATTCTAAAATTCAAGTGGAATCTCAAGTGACCCCAAATAGACAAAATAGTCTTGAAAAAGAAGAACTAAGCTGGAGTCCCGCGCTCACTTCAACACTCCACAGAGCCACAGCCATCGTGCTCCGGCCAGCAGTCCCCAAAGCCACAGCAGTCAAAACAGTGTGGCACTGGCTGCAGACAGCCATGCAGCCCAGTGGAATAGAACGGAGTGCCGAGAGATAAACCCTCACATACATGGCAGTTGTTTTTTGACAAGGCCGCCGTAACCATTCCATGGGGAAAGGACAGTCTTTTCAACAGACGTGTTGGGAAAACTGATGACCACATTCAGAAGACTGAAGTTGGACCCTTGTCTTAACCTAGATGTAGAAATGAATTCAAAGGGGATCAAAGACCTAAATGTAGACCTAAAACTGTAAAACTTATAGAAGAAAAGAGGGCAGAAGTTTCGTGACATTTGGATTTGGCAGTGGTTTCTTGGATTTGACCCCAAAGGCACAGGAAACAGAAGAAAACAAATTGGACAATCCACAGAATTGGAGAAAATATTTTCAAATCGTCCATCTAATAAGGAATTAATATCCAGAATATATAGTTCTCTAAAACTCAACAACAACAAGACAAAACAACCCAATTTTAAAAATGGGCAAAAGACATTTCTCCAAAGAAGACACACAGATGGCCAATGAGCACAAGAAGATGCTCAGCGTCGCTAGTCATTAGGGAGATGCAGATCAAAGCCACGAGGAGACGCCACCTCACTGCTGTAGGACGGCTCCTCTCAAAAAACAGAAAGTAGTAAGTCTCGACAAGGATGTGGACAAGTTGGAACCCCTGTGCACTGCTGGCACGAATGTAAAATGGTACCGTCGCTGTGGGAAACAGTATGGTGGTTTCTCAGAAAAGTTAAGTCGGAATCACCCTATGACCCAGCCACTCCGCTGCTGGGGATGCACCCGCAAGAACAGCGGAGGCGGCGTCTTGGGGAGACCCGCACAGGCCGTGTTCACAGCAGCTTATCCCCAGCACCAAGAGCTGGAAGCAGCCCAGTGCTCGCTGATGGACGAGTGGATAGACAAAGTGCAGTCCGTCTGTGCAGTGGAATATTGTCCAGCCTCACAGAGGAAGGAACCCAGGGTTCAGTCCCTGTACTGGCCAGCGCCGTGCCCCCCACCCCGCCCGAATACATTTAAGTAAAAAAAAAAAGAAGGAAATTCTGACACATGCTATAACAGGGACATTACACTGAATGAAATAAGCCAGCACTGAAGGACAGGCACTGTAGGATTCTACTTGTGAAGTTTCTAGAGGAGTCACATTCACAGAGACAGGAAGTAGAGTGGGGGTGCGGGGGCGGGGAGGGGCAGGACCGGGAACTGGTGTCTCATAGGGATGGAGCTCAGTTACACGAGATGAAAAGTTCTGGAGGTGGGCGGTGGTGCTGGCTACACCACAGTGTGACTGTGCTTAATGTCACTGCCCTGTGCACTTAAAAGGGTTAAAATAGTAAATTCTATGTTACCTGTATTTTGCCACAGTAAAAAAAACTGAAAAACAAAACAGGCCCTCTGGAAAAGTGCGTGCGGTGTGTGTAATTGTTGACTGGTGAGCAACCCGGTGGACTCTGGCCACTGTCCTGCGCTGGGTGCCACCCGGGTGCAACCGCTGCTGCCTGAGGCCTTGTCCTCGCCGCCTGCCCCGTGGTTGCCTCCTCTCTTTCCCTGTGGCTGCAGCTGTTCGCATGTGGCTAAAGCCGACTAGGCAGTGAGCATGTGAGTGGGCAGGTGGAAGCCACAAGCCCCACTTCCACATTTCCTGGGAGGACAGGGGGAGGTGCAGGATCCACAGAGTTGGAGGGGACGCCCTTGTCCATCAGGTCCCAAGGTGCCAGCATGACAGGTGCACTCTGTCTCGGGCTCGCCTCTCAGCCCCTCCCTCTGCCTCCTGTGCTTTTTCAGCTTGCTGCCTCCCACCCCTGCACATGCCTGGCACACCCTCACCAGGGCAGCCGGCACAGGGGGGCGTGTGGAGCCCGGAGGTGGTGGCTCGCGGGGCATCGGGGCTGCCTTCCCAAGCCCACCATGTGCCTGCAGGCCCCCACCTGCCTGGTCCTCTGCTCCTTAAGCTCCTGACGCGCAGCTGCCATGAGCACAGCCTTCTTGCTGCTTCTCCCCACTTCTTCACGGATCGTCCCTGGCATTCAGTAAATGCCTGTGTAATGGGCGAGTGCGTATACCAATGGCACATCTTCATGGTAGGAAACCTAAGAAGTGCTACAGAGGGTGTCGGGCCAATCGAGTGCCGTCCCTCTTCCCTCCCCGCCGTTGTCCTCCACCCTGGCCCGCCTCTGCCGTTCAGTTTCTCAGAGGTGACTATTGTTAGGCTCTTGGTTATATTTCTCCAGAAGTTTTCTGCACATTTGCAGGTCCCCCAAACACCTCTATGGCTTGCTGGGTTCTTACATCATCTCTCGACATCATTCCATTTTAGTGGTTCATTCTTTATACTGAAGTGTACTTTGCAGAAACAGCATAAATTTGCCACAAGTGAGCACTCCCTGTGCGCCGGCCCTACCTTGTGGTGAAAAACAGTGCGTGTTTAAGAGTAGGTGCCTGTTTATGTTTTCTGTGTGGGCCCCCACTGACCTAACCTGTGCCCTCTCCGGGCTGCCCACCTTACTCTCTCCAGCTCTCCCTGTCCTTCCTAGGGTCCCCTGTCACAGCCTGTCTCAGTTCCCTACTGGGGAGGACGAGTGGCATGTGTCGCTGTGGGTCCTGGGTGAGCTCTGGAGCCGTCAGGAGCTTCAGTTTCCCCACTGGTGAGATGGGCAGACCACTGCCTCCCTGGCGAACTTGTTTTAGTTTCATGGGACGACACATATGGAAGCATATATCCTATTTCCACATTGCTTCTTGGTGTGATTATAAATTTCACAGAGAATTAGGGGTCCATTTTTCCACCTGAAATGCTGGTATTCTCTTATTTTTTAAAATTTTCATGTTTGTTTTCCCTGGAATCAGAGCTAGTTATTGAAGCATAGTCTGGTGTCTGCTCTGTGATAGACTAATAGACACAGCCTTTTCTCTCCCACAGTGCTGCAAACTCCTGCCCATCTAGTCCCCGGGGAGCGGGGTCTTCAGGGTACAAAATGGGCCGTGTGATACCATCTGACCTCAATTTAATGGCTGACAACTCACAGCCAGAAAACGAAAAGGAAGCTTCAGGTGGAGACAGCCCAAAGGTAAATATTTTATAGTCTTGAAACAGTACCGGGGGACATGGTGTAGCCACACGGTCCTCATCTTGTCGCCTGCGTGTCTAGCAACAGCCTTCCAGGGCCTTTGGAGAAGTTGTGAAGTGCAGTCTGTGTGGATGTGAGGTTGAGTTTGGTGTCGCACTTGAGCCTGTTCTTGGTGTTGGGGTTTTGTAAATACATTCTTTATTTTTTTGGCGGCTGGCAGGTGCAGCAGAGATCTGAACCCTTGACCTAGGTGTTATAACACTGTGGTCTAACCAATTGCACCAGCCAGCCCATGTACATGAATCTGTGTGGTCATTCAACATACACCTGAAGGTCTCCCCAGTGGCAGCTGTGCAAGCAGCAGAGGACAGCGGAGCTCAGGTGCATTTGTGTCCCGGGAAGCTTGCTGCAGTCTAGCCCCACTGTTCCAAACACTGAAGGTTACGCAAATGCATACACCTACACACACCTTTTGGGAGGCTACGTGTCCTGTGTTTGGACAGCAATCGTTGGTAGTCCACACTCGCCCCTACATGTTTTTATTCCTTGACCCAGTAATTTCCCTTCCAGGACTTTGTCTAAAGGAATGGATGAAAGTTTATATGAAACACAAAATTGAAAACAATGTAAATGCCCCCTAGGGATCAGTGGTTACGTGATTCCGAGGGCTGGCTGGTTATCTCAGTGGATAGAGCGCAGACTTGTGACACCAAATCAAGGGTTTGGATCCCTGTACCAGCCGGTCACCCCAAAAAAGAAAAAAGTGAAAGATGTGGTGGTTTCAGTAAGGAATAAATATTACTCAAGACATTTGCTGATATGGAAGTGCTCTCCCTGTAATGATGAGTGAAGAAAAGACAGTAAGAACCGTGTGTAGTGCTGCTGTAATTGCACGTTCATAAAACGTGGTCTGTCGATGCGTGGAACACAGCACAGCCGTGGGTGCGAATGAGCCTCTGCCGTGCGCCTCCTGCATCCAGCAGCCAGGGCTCCCCCCACACGCGTGCTGGGCAGGAACAGCAGCCACAACAGGGCACATTCTGTGATTCCATGTCTGTCAGGTTAACATGAGGGCAATCTAAATTATATTGTTTCAGGATGCATTCGTAGGTGGTAAAACTTTTAATAAGTCACAGCAAAATTGTCAATGCTATAAAAAGTCAGGAATAACGGTGGCCTCTCTGAGATAGAGACCGTCAGCCAAGAGGCCATATGGAAGCTTCTGGGGTGCTAGCTGCGTTCTGTCAGTGACAGGAATGTCCTGTGAGCTTTTTCTGTGTCATGTGTTTCTCAGTAAAAAAAGTTTTTATAAACATAGAGAAAAGATCACAAAGAGACACTCCAGCAGCACTAGCACACTGACAAAGGCTCTGCTCTGGGCTGGATGCCTGGTGCCACTTGTCAGCTGAGGGTCCCTGCTCTGCCCAGTCTTCCCGTTAGCAGAGTGTGCACATTTGTGGACATGGTTGAGGCAGAGCCTGGTGTGGCCTGGGAAATGTTAGCTATTTAAAAGAGGGGGTGTGGCGGGGTCTTCTGGATGCTGGGATTATAAGTGATTAAATTTTTCTGTTTAGAGAGTAACAGCACACATCCCTGTGCCCACCAGCAGCTTTTGGGGCGGAGCAGGCCCGTGCTGTGGAAGCCCAGGCCCTGCCCTGCTGTTGGGAAATGTTAGCTATTTAAAAGAGGGGGTGTGGCGGGGTCTTCTGGATGCTGGGATTATAGGTGATTAAATTTTTCTGTTTAGAGAGTAACAGCACACATCCCTGTGCCCACCAGCAGCTTTCGGGGCGGAGCAGGCCCGTGCTGTGGAAGCCCAGGCCCTGCCCTGCTGCCCGCCCTGGGCACGTCCTCCCTCCTCGCCCTTGTCTGTCGGCCTCTGCCTGCCTGTTCTTTCGCTTCATTTGTATTTATCCGTAAGCAATGTCTGTACTGTACTTCTGTAAGTGTCATATATAAATACTATCATATTGAATGTATTCTTTCATAGATTACTTTTTTCATTCGACGTTATGTTGCTATTGGCCATTGTTTTTTTTTTTTCTCTTTTCCTTTTTGTCTTTTTTTCGTAACCGGCAACAGATCGCAACCCTCAGTGTCGCGCCCGCACCTCGCTCAGCCAGTGAGCAGCCGGTCTGTACGTGGGATCCGAACCCTCAGCGGGAGCGCCGCCGCGCTCCCAAGTGGCGCACTGTAGCAGTGCGCCACCGGGCCGGCCCGCTATTGGCCATTGTTGATATGTGTGTTTCCCAGAAGTTGTCAGCTGGGGGGCAGTGCCCTCTCTCCCCAGTGGGTTTGTGCCCATGCATGTGGGATTTGAGTCATCACAGCAAGCTGGTACCGGAGTGCCAGTGTCCTGCTGGGTGTGCGGCAGCCTTGCACACCAGGACGGTGCTGCCCTCATGGCCTGGGCCCGCAGCCTTCTGCTCATAGTTGCGCGCCATGAAGCTCAGAGGCTCTGGCTGCCTCCTGGTGAGCGTGAAGGTCTCCGCAGGGTCGGTACCCGGGGAGGATGTGCTGCTCCCTCTGCCTCTCGCCAGCACCTGGCCCCCATGTTGCTGCCTGGCGGCTGGGTCGAGGCGACGGGGTCTGGTGTGGTTAATGTGCGCTGCCCTGGGCTACTGCCCTGAGGCCAAGCAGCTTTTCTTGGTTTTTCTTTTTTGTTTTTGCCATTTGGATTTTCTGCTTATGTGATTTTTAATCTTTTTTATATTGTTCTATTCTTTTCCATTTGCTTCCTCCAACTTTTCCAAATTATATTGCTTTTATAGCATGAAAAATTCAGTATTATTAGAGGAACACTTAAAAACACTAAGAAACCTGAATTTTAGTAAATTTGGTAAAAAATTGTGATAATTTCACTACTTTTTTTTAATGCAGGACGATTCAAAGCCACCTTATTCCTACGCACAGTTAATAGTGCAAGCAATTACAATGGCTCCCGACAAGCAGCTCACTCTCAATGGGATTTACACGCACATCACTAAGAATTATCCCTACTACAGGACTGCGGACAAGGGCTGGCAGGTGAGCCTTTCCAGACTTGTTACCTGTTGCTGTCACACGTCTCACAGATGCTGACTGATGCTGAGAGGGGAGTGAAGCTGCGGCTTCTATGACTCAGCACAGGTTCAGGCGGTGTAATGAGTGAGCGAAGCTCTTGCTGAGACAAGGAGGCAGCAGACATGGTGGTGGCCACCTGCCGCCTCAGCACAGCGTAGGAGGAACCTGCGTTGTTTACCGTCAAGGGCCGGCACGTGTCTGCATGGGGTGTGTGATGCGGGGTTGTGTGAGATGGTTCTCCTTGACCACTGCAGTTCATTTCATACATCTGCAATGTGGGGAATTTAGAAATCTGGCCCATTACTCTGGCATTCTTCTGTCTTCCTCATCTACTTCTGATATACAGAAATTGTGAAGATTGCACAGAGATAGTTTCAGACTGTTTCACCAAGGAGCACTTTTTCAAAAGACGTCTTCTTCAGCTGGCCAGTAGATGAGACGTGCCCGTGGCGTGCCTGTGTCAATTGGGGAGCCTGCCTCTCATGCACCATCCCTCCAATCCCTTCCTGGGGTGTCTGTGTCATAGGATACTTTGAAATCGGCACGTAATATTTCCACTGTTTAGCTCACACACCAATACTACTTAACCCTTTACATTGTGCAGGTGTTTTTCTGTATATCAGTGTTGTGCGAGGCCATTTACTGGATGTAGAGTAGAACCTCACTAATTGAGACAGTTCAGGAAAGGGTAAGTTTCAAAAATAGAATATTAAAAACATAATAAAAGAGGGAAGAAATGTATGCTTATGATTTTTTAATTTATTAAGTAACTAGGAATGGCTACAGAATTCCTTTGAACTAAAGAAATTCCGAAGCTTGTTTTAATTATCTTTTAAAAAATGTGTCTGTTGAACCATAACCCTATAGCCTAGTGGGGGGGGGGGGTAATGTTTTGTTTATTGAAGGGGAAAACTTTCCTTTTAACTGCAGATGTGTAGATATGTTATAATAAGAGTAGCTTACCAACCAAATCCTCAGTATCTCCTTTGTAAGGGGCTCAGGGTCTTGTCATGGACAGTACAAATGAGACTCCTCTTTTTTCCATCTGGTGTTTTCCTTGCCTGGGGGCACCCGCACCCTGCCCTACCCTGCCCACTTGTGGTTCATAGCAAGGCAGCATTTCTTAGTTGAGAGTTAGGAAAACACAGGATTTAGAGAGTAGTTCCATCTCCAGCTACATGTCAGGTCTCTTAACACATTGCATAATATGAGGGTACTTCAAAAAGTTTGTGGAAAATGAAATTAAAAGAACATGAATCTTTCCATGAACTTTTATTCTGGCCATATTTATTATATTTCAATCTATAAGAGTGAGGTTGTGCTTAAAGCAAAATACAAAATGAGAAAAAACAGAAATAGACAATAACTTATATTCCTGTTCTCGTGACTGTGGCTTTGTCAAGGAGAGACACTCCATGTGGATGGCATCCAGCTGGCTGTGGGCATGCGAAGGTCTCAGTGTTCAAGTGCTGCTTATTATGTGCAAAAATCTGATTATTTGAAATACCAGTGATGTGCGGCTGTGTGGGACTGTTTCTGAAAAGTTTAATTAGACTTGTTTCTGTTTCTCTGACGGTCATATTTCTGTGTATTTTTATAACATGCATATACTTGAGAACTATTTACAAGCACCACAAGGTTTTCTTGCTAAAGAGGGTGGAAGGATGAAGGCCACCCCTGGCCTCAGTCTCCTGGGGCCTGAGTCAGGAAGTTAGGAAGGGCCTTTTGAGGAGTGGAGCTGTCCTGTCCGGGCCAGACTTCCCAGCATGGTCACGGAGAGGCAGGGATCTCAGCCGGGATCCCCATGCATGCACTGATTGCTGCTGGCTACTCGAAGTGACCTCACAGCCCACCCAGGGAAGAGAGTCACAAGCAGAGCTACAAATCGAGCACCCCTCTGTCGAATGTTTGTTAACAGTTGTTTTTACTGAAGCATTTTCTTTTCTATCTAGATCAAGGTCCGTAAGGATGACTGTGCGTCTCTTGCCCGAGTAAGGCTGCTCCTGGGATGTTTCGCGCCTCCTGCCTCCAGCTTACCTAGCGGGAGAGGGGTTACCGCCCCGGCCTCCCTTCAGCTCACGTGCTCTTTTTCTGCTGTGCGATTCTCTGAGCTGCCACTCCCAGCATGGCCTGCTCAGACTCTGTGTGTGTCGACCTTATTCTGCCCTCCTCCCGACTGGCCTAAAACAAAGTCTTTCTGTCTTGCAACCTTGTTTCTTAAAAGAGCTACCTCTCTTTTCTTTTAAGAGGAAAATGAAAACCGTCAACAAAACAGCCCATTTTTAAAATGTGGATTTCCAGCTTGCATCCTGCTCTGCCCATTGGGGTGTGGGGGAGGCCTCGGCTGCTCGGACTCCTCAGTGGAGTCCACAACTACCTTTCAGACTTGGTCTTGGTAGTTTGCATTGTGTCCCTGTGGGAAATCCTAGGACAAAATGAGATGGCTCGAGTGACCCTATCTGGAAGGAAGGCAGATTTCTTTCTTTTGGTTGCATTTTTCTGCCAAAATTCTTTCTTATGATTTTATAATTTTACCTAGCTCAGAATTGAGATACTTGTTGTGACTATAAATAGTTAGAAAAGACTGGACTCCCGGCCTCTGCAGGGACCAGAGCTAATTTCTTCTTGGAGCAGGGGACATGCTCTGCACCCCGCTCATGCTGGCCTTACGGAGGCACGCATGCACATTAGACTCGCCCTCCTGAGGATGCTCGACATGTTTCCTTCTCGTAATTTCTTTACAAGTCCTTACTGTGCAAAATACACACTGTAGAGTACTCAGTGCTGGGATGACTAGACAGACAGACAGAAACTGTCCTTGAGAAACATGGGTCTAGCCAGGAAGGCTGCACACCCTGCAGAGAAAAGCACAGCAGAGCCTGCTGAGGGGCGGAGGCCGCAGAAGGGCCTGGAGCTGGAGGGGTGGGGGCAGTGGGGGGAGCGTGTGCTCGGTGCAGCCCGTCCTTTTCTTCCTATTTAGCACTAAAGAAAGACAGCCCACGTACTTGATAGTTTCCAGGTCGTCAGTCTCGCCACTGTGGTTTTAGTGCGCCTGGCAACAGAACGAGGGAATGTTCGTCTCGGGTTTGATCAAACTACAGAGGCTTCAAATTACCTTAGAAACGTCATTATTTTATTCTGTTTGTGTCTAGGTTCAGTAAAGACAGCCCACGTACTTGATAGTTTCCAGGTCGTCAGTCTCGCCACTGTGGTTTTAGTGCACCTGGCAACAGAACGAGGGAATGTTCGTCTCGGGTTTGATCAAACTACAGAGGCTTCAGATTACCTTAGAAACGTCATTATTTTATTCTGTTTGTGTCTAGGTTCAGTGACTCATTACTTCCTCATGTGTTCTAGAGTCTTGTTGGCTGGAGAATCATAGGCGACAGTTTAGTCGACCTTACGTGCCCATGGGACTGCTGTTCAGGCAAATGGATTAGAGTGGAGAGGTGGTTAGAACCCATTGTGATGATGCAGACTGAGTTCGGTTACATTTTCAGAACAGAAAATAGCAGCGCCCTGATTCCAGGAACACATGTTGCATCTTGTAAGTGATGTTAGTGGTGACAAAACAGTGCCCTCTGGTCCGTGATCCTGTTCTTTCTCATGCGGATAGACAGCCGCCTAGTACCTAAAAAGAGCACTTCCTGCTCCAGGTGCCGCTCTGCTGACTTTGCTTTTTCCTCCCCACCACATGCACAGTCCTCACTGCACATCAGTGCAGTGACAGTCTTCATCTGAACACGCGTCTCAGGGCTCAGAGTGGGGCCAAGAGCACCTGGGGCGGCAGAGTCGACTGTGCAGCGGGAGGGGAACCACTGAGCCCCACAGTTGGAGTCTTCAGTTATTGTCACCTGCACTTGCTTCTCTTGGCCCACAGTCTTGAATCCACCTTCTTTTTATTTTTTATTTTTTTTGTCTTTTTTCGTGTCTGGCAATGGATTGCAACCCTCAGTGTC